GGGGCTTCTTCTAGAAAGTACATATGGGGACTTAAACCTCCTCCAGCGCTCGGGCTATCGATGGACTTACTTTTCAGGAGCAGATCAGAAGTTTTTGGTATCCGGAGATAGGATAGATGATTGAAAAATGAGTTGGAGTTATATTAGTGCATCAAAATAAGAGATTGCTTCCGTTTCGAGTGAGATTGGTTGAAGGAGTTCAAATTCTTTGTAGCAGAATAGAGAGAGAGTGCACAAATGGAAAATGTGGTTTTGACTCTGATGTAAAAACATAATTCAGGTAGCTTTAGAATCCTACTTTTAAATTGTATAGTTGTTGTCTTGTTGAAATGGATTTTGAGGCTTCAAAGATTAGTCTTGTGATAAGTGTGTTGCAAAAAATTGTCGTGAATAGATGTGCAAACATTTTCATTGCTGCTTTAAATATTGGGTCTTGTTTAAATTTGTCTTCTTGCTGTGCAACACAAGCATATCAAAGTCTCTGGATGTGATTGTGAAGCAGAGCAAAAAATATCCATTTAGATTCCTCTAAAAACCAAACGAGTTCAATAAAACCAAAATAACATATTTGAAGCAGATTTCAAAACGTTTGAACAATTCAAAACTGTATAGTTTTTTATATGAATTGATCAATGGCGTTTAAATCAAATAACAATCAAATCATTATCTCCATATTATATAGTATGTGCTAAATTTCATTCGATTTTAATTCCGTCGTACACTTCTTAAACAACAATACCAGAATATAGAAAACATGAATTAGGCACACCTCATTCATTATTTGCTGGAAAAACAGGTGTTGTCAACTCCTTACTAGCGTTCTCGATCAATTTTTTTATCAGTTAACCCCAAAGATTAGAATTATCAATTTGGGAAGGACAAAAAGAAAAACGAAAACCGCTGCAGCCAAGAATAATAGCAAAAAGATGAAATTAAATCACGAGGAATGGTGGTTTTTATAGCAAAAGAGAGAGAGAGAGAGAGAGAGAGATCATTTTTCTCCTTTTTTTCTTATTTTCCTTTCCCTTTAAAGATCAAAGAAGAAATGTGTTGCTGTTGACGATTTTATTTCGATCTGTAACAAGCTCTCTTTGATGCTCGAACGATATCCTCTATCTGCATCATTAAAATCTCAAATTCATCAATAAAGAACGATATATTCATATGAACAAGTTTCTACGCAGATAAGGGACAAAACAAACCTGAGGAAGAGCCAATCTCTCTAGGTTAGCTGCATAAGGCATTGGAACATCAGCTCCTGCAATCCTCTCCACCGGTGCATCCAAGTATGAAAAGCTCTCTTCTACAACCGACGCACTGATCCATAACCAAAAAAATTAACCCGCGTTTAAAAATACTATACAATCCAGGTGACTGTAAGATCTCTACTGAGCCAAGGATATGAAGTTAACCAGATTTCTGCACAGACTCCATGTTGAGGGAAACCTTCTTCAACTGTTACCAATCTACTCGTTTTTCTCACTGAAGCATTGATGGTGGCTCTGTCAAGCGGACGGATTGAACGAAGATTTATTACCTAAGCATTTTCATAAATAAAAAAGTTCAGAGTTCACGTATTGGTTTTAAGGAGAATCACAAGAGAGAAATCTGAAATCTGAAATACCTCAGCACTTATTCCCTCTTCTGCGAGCTTCTCAGCTGCCTATAATCAGGTACATTAAATAATAATTCAGAGACGGAACAAAGAGAGGCAAACACCATCCAAAAGGAATATTTGAGCTATAGCCATAAAACGAGCAAAAACGTTTTTAATTACTAAAATGAAAGTGGGAGGAAATGGCAAACCTTGAGGGCGAAACCGACCATCTTCGAGAAAGTTACTATCGTGACATCCTTTCCTTCTCGTTCAATCTGTTATAGGCAAAGACAGCATTAAAGCATCCAACTGCTAGATAGAAGAAAAATGAAAGAGACACACATAAAAAGAAGGCGATAGATACCAAGTGACAGTACCTTGGCTTTGCCTATGGGAAGACAGAAACTTGAATCAAGTGCTTCTTCTGAAATAGGGAACGATTCACCATATCTGCATGACGGAATCAATTTGAGGAGGTATTGATATGTAGGCTCTAATTACATGCCAGAATTCAAATTAGGCATACTACTTACAGTAGCTCGTTTTCAAGGAAGACAACAGGGTCAGGGTCTCTAATAGCAGCTTTAAGAAGTCCACGAGCATCTTCAGCTGAATACGGAGTGAGGACTTTCAAACCAGGAACTGAGGCGTACCACGCTGCATAGCACTGCAAGATGTAGAACAGTATAGCTCCATTTAACATCCAGAGATACATATATGAGGTCACAAAAAGCCGTAAACACAGACAACTCCTGAATTCTTTTGATCATATTAGTCATATGGTGAAACAAACTACACCCCACATATTCATAGTTTCATGTGCGTTTTACCACACTTAAACGAAAACAGGTGCATGCCACTGTGCTAAGAACCTTGATCATAATTAATCAGTCGAATGTCTCAATTATTTAGGGGAAATTTGATCTACGTTAAAGCAAAAGCCAGTTCCTTCGTCCTATTTGAATATCATTATCAGTTTCACAGTAGCTGAAGGAAGAATGCAAAGCAACAAATTATTCATATTCTTTTGAGTGAAGAAAAGGTTTTTGTACAGAGATTTTGTTAGCGTTTACCTGAGAATGTTGAGCCCCAACACCAGCAGCAGCACCATTGGGTCCTCTAAAGACGATGGGTACATTTATCTGTCCAGCAGACATGTAATTTGACTTTGCAGCGGAATTGATGATATGATCAATTGCCTGAAAGAAGTCCAATAGATATTAGGATACACATTGGGAAATAAATAGAACTTTTGTGCACTTCAATGTCGATGGTAACAAGATCCGAAAGAAAATAAAGTCTATGATGCCTGAAAACATATTGCACCGGAATGCATGATGCGTACTGCAACAATTATGCATAATCAAGTCAAGGAAAGAGGCAAAATGTAGTATTCAAAGAATAGAACAAAAACCAACGCTCACCTGCATAGAGAAGTTAAACGTCATAAATTCTACAACAGGCTTTAAGCCAGCATAGGCGGCACCAACTCCAATTCCAGTAAATCCAGCCTAAAACATGGTAAAACGATGACTGTCAGAAATCTTCTCAATCTAGAACCATGGACATAAGGATTGTGACTGCAATACAAGAAAATAGTAAAGAATTCCAAACCTCGGTAATAGGGGTATCGTAAACTCTCTCAGGACCATACTTCTCCAAAAGACCTTTAGTGATCTATGAGTACATGATAGACCTCCAGAATCAGATCAGGGTCAAAACAAGAGAAATAACTGGAAAAATCTATTTTCATCGGGTCAAATAATTCTAACCTTGTAGGCTCCTTGATATTGGCCAACCTACAATAACAAGATAAAAGATGAGATATAGATATCTGATTAGAAACGCCAGATGAATAAATCACACATGTTTAGCTGCAACTAACCTCTTCACCCATAACAAATACTTTAGGATCTGCAGACATTTCCTCATCAATTGCAGAATTTAGAGCATCTCTGACTGTCATCTAAACAATGATTTGCACACAAAAAAATGTAAGCAATATAACAATATTTTGGGAAAGTCCATATACAAGGAGAAACATGTTTCCGAAATATTAACAAAGAATGAAGGCCTTGTCGGTTGTCAGCTTTATCAGCTAAATTTTATTACTCAGCTCATATACGAAAAAAATTATGGGATCTCAAAAACGTAACCAAAGCTACAGTTGTTGGGATTCTAAAATGTTACTACTCTACTTATGTGAGTCAGCTATCAATCTACCATTTTCAATGTCAGAACTTAGAAGAGAAAGCCAAAAGGCTTAACGTCTACGCGATGATTATCAATCCTTGCGTTTCTCAGATGCTCACAGACATCCAATATAGCTCACTAAACTCGATCTTTCAATGAACAAGAAAAAATAAAAGGTAATAAATTGACCAAATTATCTTCCATAGCTCATACAAAATTGACGAGACATAACCAAACCTGTACAATAACGCTCTTAAACCATCCGAAAATTCGAGAAAAGACATCTACCTCTTTTGCACCAGCTGCATAGCTCCTAGCAGAAACCAATGCGAATCGCGTCCTTCTAAGAGTCTGATCAAAATCCAAATTTCGAAAATCACAAAACAAAATCCGATCCTAAAAATCTCAAATCGTAATCGCACTGAAACAAATAAAAGGAGTAAAGAAGCCTCATACCGAAGCAGCCAAGCCTCCGTCGATGGCTCTTTGCCTCAAGATTCCTAACATTCTCTCTGATTAACAAACAAAAATCAATAGTAACCAAAAGATCAAAAGCCCCGTAGATCTAACAATCATCGGAAAATCATGAATCCGAAGAAACAGAGTAGATCGGTACCGGAGAGAGGAAATGATTACCTGAGCTTTGGTACGATCTAACCACGCCGGCGAAAAAAGCGAGAGAGAAGAAGATACGACTCAAAGCGTGAGCGAAAGGGCACTGTTTTTTTTGTTGTTGTTCTAAAACACAGCGAAATGATTTCAACTAGATGAATTATATGAGAGAGTAGGTCTTTCTCTTCTTCATCCAATTTTACAGGAGCCGTCCGATTAATATTTGCTGGTCATGATCAATGGTTGACATTTCGTTATATACTTTTTCTTTTCCAATATTATTATTCCATTTGTTGTTGTTGTTGTTGAAGTTTATAATGTGGATGTGACCCAATTTACGTTATACTTATTTTTAATTCAGAGAGATTCGCATTTTTTAACGAACCGAATCCATAAAGATGCAAACCGAATCATAATCCATGTACAAATTCTATGCGGTTTAACTTTTCTTCGGTTCATATGGTTCGGTTTCGTTTATAATGGAGAAGCTTTTCCGGGTTGCGACATTCTTCTAATCGGTTGTGATCTTAGTGAATGCAGAATCATTCTCTGCGAACCTGCAGCTAAATTAACTATTCTCAATTTGCATTTTGTGAGATAAAATGGACTTTGCTCACAAAGAGCAGAATCAATATGATGTGATGTCTCTACATTTTAAAAGTGAATTTGAGGTCTAATTGTAGTTTTGTAATCTCAAGTGCTAATTAGTTCAAAAACTCTGAAAAACAAACAAAAAAAGCAAAAAAATTGAATTCATAGTCTCTCTCTGGTTCATGGTTGAAGTGCAGAATCGGCACTGTTAGTTTCTTTCTGCTTTCTTTCAGCTTGAAGGGATCTGCAAAGAGATTCAAGCTTGTCTTTTTGTTTCTTTGTCTTCTCCAACAGCTTTTTCAATCTTTCACGCTGTTCAAGGTCAACCAAAGGAGTGATTTCACTGGTTTCATAACCAAATTCTACAAACGCTTAAAAATGATGACAACAGGCGGTTTAGTTTTACCTCTTCAACGAGTTCTATGAGAGTGATATCCGACTTCTCAGTTTTGCTCTTCAAGAATGCGTTTTCTTTCCTAAGTTCTTTGATTGCTTTTGACATCTACACAAAACACCGATAGAGACAGGATCAAGTTAATAAGATTACATAAATGGCAATTATGATCTTTCAAAGAACCTCGAAGGTATGAAACTGTTGTTACCTTATCGATTTCTTGTTTGAATGTTTCGAACACCTCATTGCTCTTCACCAACGCGTCCTGCATAACCAACAGTCTTTCACATTACAGTCTTTTCATATAATATCAGCAAAAAACAAATCTTAAAAGAGTATAGCATCACACCCACCCAAAATCAAGCAATCTTATTATTGGTGAACATAATGAATCGAGAAGACGATAAAAAGACTTATTTAGGAAGTGTAAAAGGGAAAGAGAGCAGACCTGGAACTGCTGGAATTTATCTCCATCAGCAGTTAGCTGCAACCGCAAATTTTTCTCAGTAGATAAAAGCTGAGAAACTTGATCTGCGTAAACTTTCATCTGAGATTGTTCATGGATGAGTTTCTCCTCGTGCTGTTTAATTTTTAAAGCAGAGATCTGTAGCTCAAGTGTTTTCTGCTTCAACTGTTCCGAAAATGAGATGTTGTCAAGTATACATCACAGTGAAGCCAATTACTGTGGTTAAATAATGCTTCATATATAGTTGAAAAAACGAATCTGTAATTACTCTTTGTTCATGTTGTTGTTCTGAAAGCATAAATTGATCAGCCAGGTGCTTCAACTTCGTCCTCAACCTGGAGATTAAGAAACAAATCCACTGTAATTAGAGTGGACCTTTACAATATGTTACCGAGCTGATACAAGCAAAGCCGTTTTAAAAATGAGCATATTCATAATGATTTTTTAACTTAATTTGCAACAAACCTATACATAAATAATAAACATACTAGAATATTCCTACTCTACGAGTGAAAACGTTGTCATTGAGTTCTTTCGGCTTACATCTCGTTTTCTTTTAGTTGTGTGAGGCTTTCATCCTTTTGCTCGTCCAACTTAATGCTTACATCCTATTAACCAAAGAGGATTAGGAAGGTAGAGAGTATAAGAAAAATCAATTAAATAAAGCCTACAAGCAATTCATCAAACTTATTTCTATCAATCTATAACTTGCAACGAATATGGACAACTTTCTACTTTATATAAAGTGAGTTCCAATCATTTCCAAGAACTAAATAGGTATGTCCGATTTCGATACTAACATGCCAATATTAGTGTAGAGAGTTTCACAAAGAAGAAAAAGAGATTTCCATGACTTTTTAAAGCATATAACACGGAAGATTAAAGGAGGTAATCTCCTAAGGTAATAGAACAAGGATCAAGAATGATGTGCATTTAAGATTTGCTTACTTGGAAGACTAAACAAAGATTTGCTTAAATGATGTTCCTCTTTAGAACAGTCAATACCGACAGCAAAATGACTCAAATTTCTATAGTCAGCAAAGATCGAAACCCTGGTAAAAATAAAATGTGTTCGACTTACCTTAATTGCATCCTGGAACTTTGTCGATAAATCCGATCTTAAAGTCTGTCCCTCAGTTGACACCCGCTTGCATTCTTCCTGTTATACAAATGACCATTCAGTTTACACACTAACAGGTTAGCTCCTCAAAACAAAACACACCAAGTAGAGTAAGCGAAAAGAAAGAAAGAACATACCATCAACATTTTGTTTTGACGTTGTAATTCTCTACAAAGTGATTCAAGCTTGTCACGAACAGTAATAGCTACAGTAACAAAGAGAAAAAAAAACAATAATGATGAGAACAGACTATAAACCATAGAACAATGAAGGTAACACAAAACTGATTCGGTTTCACTGATTTCCTATTACCAGAATCTCTTTCAGAAAGAACTTGCTGATACTTGAGCATAAATTCCAAAAACTCTTTCTCTGATTTAAACATATTCTTTGAACCCTTACGCTTGCTCTCAACCACCTCCTGCTTTCAATATCAGCACAAAGATCAGATACATCATCTTCAACATATATTCTTCTCAAAGCAACAAGATTGAAGAACTCATCAAAATACTAACTTGTTTTTTGGGTTTGAGTGAATCCATTTCCTTAGACAAGGTTGAATTTTGACTTGACCCTTCTGATACTAACTCAAACAAAAAGCAAAGAATCAAACTTTAGGTTAAAAAGAAGCAAATTCTCATAAAGAAATCAAGTTTCATATAATCATCTCTTACATGTTTGAGAAACAGGAGTAGATGTTTCTTCTTGTTTCTGCTCTAACTCTGCCTCTAAGCTAAGCTTCTCTGAGTCTCGAATTAGGTCATCTACTTCGTCATCTTCATTACCATCTGTTTCACACAAAGGAACTGGAAAAGTTCTCGGCTTCTCTGCTTTTTCGATCGCAACAGTTTCATGGTTTATTGTTGTTGTGATACAATTTTCTTCCTGGGTTTTCGGTGAATTGAGAGGCGGGTCTGTTGCGCCGTCGACGAATCCATCGGGTAAAGAATCGACTTCAGGGAGCAGATTCGAGTGCGGTGACTCCATTTTTGAGACTGGATCTGAAGCCAATTAAGAATCCGGTGAGATTGAAGAAAACCTAAATATCTAACAATTGTGATGGAATTGAGCAAAACCTTTAAGGTAAGAGTTTGATTTGGGCAACAAGTAGAGTACTTGTAAATTTTAATTTTGACTAAAATTTAGGGTTACTCAATTTTAACTAAATTAAATGTTATTCTGATTTTTTTGTCGGAAATTTAATGTTATTCAATACTCCAACAAACTTTTACTATTATTATTGGTTTCTTCATCAAAAATATTTAAAATATATGTTCCAAATAATGATCAAAAATGAATGGTGTTATTCATATTTTTTTTTTTTTTTGACATTTTTGGATCGACAAGGTCCGATCCATAGCCAATTTCTACTACGCGGGATAACGCAACTTACTAGAGTCAAACTCCGATGGGAAAGCAAAGTCAAATGGACTTAACCACTTGACTAAAGACATGTCCCCAAATGAATGGTGTTGTTATTCAAGTTTGATAAATTCTAACAATCTTATTGATGTTTCAGTTGGATACACACACACAGAATGTCAATTCGGACCAAAAGCATATAAGTTTTGGACATCTTCAGTTATGGGTTGGAATAGGTAGGTTTACACTTTTATATGCTTAAAAGAAATGGTCTTGCAGAAGATCTCAAATGGGATTAACCCTAACAAACATGATCATAAACAAATTCAGTTTGATTTTTTTTTCTTTTTTATAAAACTAAACAAACAAAAAAGTTATTTAAAAAAAAAACAAAATCACCGGTTATAAAGTATGGATGATTAGGGTTGATGTTTCCAGTACCACAATTTACAGCAGAGCAAGTTAGAATGATGTTTTTAAAACCACAGTTAGATGATATTTTTGGGTTGGCCGTTCGTATTTTTGGTAAATCTCATCTATAGATGTTTCTTAAAAAAAAAGTTTTGTTGCTTTTCAAAACTAGTGTATTTCTTTTAATTTTGTCTTTAAAAACAGTTTGCACTAATTTGTATACACGTTGGTTTTTTCTTTAAATATAATTTAACATTAGATTTATTAAAAGAAAAGCGTTTAATCTGCTTTTAGTTGATGGGTTAATCTTCTTTCGTTTTAGCTTAAAAATCTTTGTTGTGTTTTTAGTGTCATTAGTTTTCTTTTCATATATATGGGCTAGATATTGGAAAAAATCACGTTTTCTTTTGGCTATAACTTCGGAGATATTTATGTCGTCTGCCGGTTTAGCTTCGCTTTTTAGGAGTTGTATCCTATTTTGGTAATTCATAACAAATTTATCAAATTTTAGATGACAAAAAAAAAACCACATTTTAAAATAGGTTGATATACCAAAACTCAGGAAATTAATTAGCCTACTAAAACAAGTTAGTCTGTTTTGATACTGCTATTCAATCTTATACACTAATTTTCTCCTCACGCAAGATTATTGCCGTTCATATTGTATAGAGGCAATCACAAACTCTAAATTCTAGTGATAAGTTCCAGTTTCCTATATGTTGCTCTAATTTTTATTTCCATCGGATAATGTATATAAACATTTTGGTTGAACAATCGATCAGAGTTAGACAACACTTTTTTTTTTTTATTGCACAAGTTCAAATTACTTACATCTTTCCACGTGGAAAAAAGTAAATTCGTCAAACACTAACTTAATTATCCTGATCAAAGAAAGCAAAGGTGAAGAAGAGGTTGTACAAATTCTGAAACAAGCGTCTCTTAAAACAAATCAAAGGTCTAAAATCGTTTCCATGGTGTGGTGGTTTTGATCAATCATCATCATTCCCGTACGTACACCACACCATTCTTACTTCAACAAATCAGTCCATGCAAAGATGGCAAACATATCACTGGTTCGATTTCTCTTGCACCAAACGAGAATGAGTGTTCCCCATGCATCCTCCACCGGCATAGCATGGCGCAGTCACATTGGCTAAATACTTCCTCGGCAATCCCATTCCGAACCTCCTTCCTCTTCTTTCCCTTTTATCCTTTTTGACGATGCTTTCGTCCTATAGAAATACAAACATATCATTGTTAGAGAGCTCCATAGTATAGATCAAATCAATAATGTGAATTAATGTGATTGATCACCTCTTTTATCTCTGTCATGACGCTTTCGGTTTCCATCGACTTTCTCGTGTCTTCTCCATCTTTTTCTACAATAGTGAATGGATATATTGTTTCAATAACGTAACCATGCACATAATATATATAACTAGCATTTCACATAGAAATATGTCTCTAACAAACATATACATACGTGCATGCATCCATATAAATATGTGTGCGTGTATTTGTTAAAGAACGTATGATTTACCTTCATCATCATCATCAGAAGGAACATCGACGCAATAAACCCTAAAGCTTGGAGATCCAGGACCTATCATTCTCTCATCAAAGTTGTTCATACTCCCTTCATTATCATCATGATTCTTAACAACATCTTCTTCTTTCTTAACATTGATGGCCACATCATCATGTTGATTTTCCTCATCTTGTTTCTCCACAACCTCTTTATTTTCCTCATCTTGTTTCTTCACAACATCTTGATGATGATTTTCCTCTTCTTGTTTCTTCACAACCACTTCTTCCTTCACCTCTTTAAAATCATCTTTGGATGGAATCTTTTCATAAATAACCTCTTTCTTCTCTTCCACGTGATGATCAGGAGCCGGAGCCACCTTAGCCGACGACTTCAAGCTACCTTCGTTCTCCTCCGTGTCTTCTCCGTCCTCGGAAGAGTTATGCCGAAGAAGCTCTTTCTTAGACAACGTCTGGCTCCCTTTCAAGACGCCTGCATGGCTCCGTTTCTTCATCTCCTCTAACCTTCGCCGGAGAAGCGGACGTATTCCAGCTGGAAGTGGCACAACACCGGCTTCTTCCGCCCTAGTTGCCGCCACACCCCCAAGTCTCGAGCCACCGCAACCCATATTAATAAAAGAAACTAACAAATTGATGGTGTAATCGCCGCCACCAAAAAGATCATACGGCGGCGGGTGGGTGGCCTGAGAAGATTGTAAAAAATAGGCAAAGGAGAGGAGAGAAGAGAGCCAATTAATTGGGAGGATGATGAATGAATGATAATAATTAGGAATACGAGAAGAAGAAGGGAGAGAATGTGAGATTATTAAAGGGTTGAGATTGTGTGATGGGTGATTGGTTAGTTACAATTTATTTGCTAAATTTGGTAAATAGTGATTTATTTAGGCAAATACATGAGTTGGTTCTTATCTAAGTGACATCTTCATTCTTATTGTCATGTTTGACTAACAGTTTGTCTCTCTTGAATTTGCAAATAGCTTTGATGTCTATGTAACTGTATTGGTCATAAGACTCGTAACATCAACATCTGCAAGATTATTTGTTTAGTCAAAAAAAAACCCCAAAAAACGGACTGTCTTTTGTGAGGGTTAAAGATAATCTAAAGACTTCTTGTTCAACATGAAATTGGTTGGTTGCAAACTGAAAATGTCTTAGTAATAATTAAATCCAATTAAGTATGCGTCCAAGCATATTGTTAAACTATATTGAATTTATGGTGAGTTTAATCTTGATAGCTATCATCTTCGCTTATAAACTATCAATAATTCAATATACATCACCAAAAGTATATGCAAAGTATTACATACATATTGCTCATCTGCAGCCTAAATTATTATTATTTTTTTTAATGTAATGTTAAATTATATTCAAAGAAAAATAACGTTTTTACAACTAGTGCAGCGAGTTATCGAAAGAAAAATTTGAATCTACAATCTAAAATTCTAAATAAGTTTGAGAAAATGTTTCTGCAACCTAAATTAATCAAATGCGACCACAACTATTCTCTCTTGTTTTTCAAATCAAGTCAATAACCACCACACGAGTTTACCATGTATAGACTTTAGGAATCCTATATTTAGAAATCTCGAATTCAAAACAAAATACTAATTAATAATGAAAATTTCTTTATATATAATTGGACATGAACAAAATAAGACCGGAGAGTGAAAGCAACTTGTGGCATCTTTCACCACATCCTCAATTACATTCCATTCCAAAGGGCTTGGAAGACAATAATTAAGACAAATCAAGCATATATATTTCATTTAGATGTTCCCTAATATGCTAACAATACTTAGTTACTAACTAAATCCAAATGATTCACCACAAAACCAAGTACATATATATATGGCATCAACCTCGGTGGTCACCGGCTTTGAATAACTTCCTCGCCATCAGACTCGTCAGACTCGTGCTCATCCTCCACCATCTCTTCCTCATTCTCTTCCTTAACCACCACTTTCACCGCCCTCCATTTCCCTACCTCACCCTTTAAACCCCAAAAATTTGATATAGTTAGCTCTATACTATTACTTACAACAAACGTATATGGTTTAGAAAAAGATAAAAGTCCAATGAGTGGCTCACCCGAGGTAGAGGGGACGATGACCACCTTGTAGCTCTAGAGGAAAGAAGTCGGAATTCGTACATGATCCATGGAGTTATTGTTCCGCGAGGTTTTTTTCCAATATAGAAAGCAAATGTCTTTCTCCTTCCTTCTAAATGAATACAATCACGATCACCAGCCTCCATTACTTCTTCTTCTTCACACTCTTCCCAATAACCCGATAACGTCTCTCTTCCCTTCCTCTCTCGCTCTTCCTTCTTCACGAAGTAATACACTTCCTTGTTCTTCTCTCCTAAGTGTACGTAAGACATTCAATAGACCACATTGTTCAATATATATTCATGTGATATGGTATAGTAATAAGAGAGAAGAGTTCGTAGGAAACCTAGCAAGTCCCAAGGATCAACATTGCAAGAACGGAGCTCAGGGAGATCGAAGTCCATTGGACGGTGGAGGACCTTCTTGGCGAGATACTCGAACACAAGATCTTCATCATCGGGATCAAACCGAAACCCGGGAGGGAGTCTCATGCTTCTTCCGTTCATAGCAAATCTCTGCGCAGAAATGTCCATTGCTTGCTTATCAGTATCCTTTGTGTGTTGGTTTAGGTTGTTTATATACTTATAAGTTATAAGAGTGTGTCACCTTTAGTTTGGCAAAAGCGGATTCTACTTTTCCTTTAGATACTTTTTACGTAGTACTATTAATTTCAAGAGATAAATAGATACAAATTTGATAAGTGCAAATTCAGAGATGGAGTTAGATTGGTTTATTTTTGTTTATTTAAATGCGAGGATCATCAAAATAAATTGTGGTGCATGTACCCATGCAGTTAACGTTATTAAGTATATCTTTAATTTTTGGTAAAGGTAATTAATCTCTCTTTCGTTTCTTTTGGCCGGGCAAAGGTAATTATTATTTTCTCAACCAAAACAAACAAGATTTAAGTTCCAAAAGCCTAGATCCACGCTATTTCATTACCATATAATAACATTGTCAATAACTAAAGCACATTTCTAACAATTTATCCCGAACTAATTTTAACATATGAAAATCTTTTATGCATATACTATATACAAGAAAAAGAAAACAAACCTATATATTAGTTCCCTAAACATGTGCAAGGTTCCTACATTTTTGTCCATCGAAAAACATATAGTTCTTTTGTAGTACGTATTAAAGAAGTGAATGTACATAAAAGATATTGGTAAACGAAAAGTTTTGGACGTTCAACCTAAAACTTGGTAGATAAAATCATTTCTTCGTATAAATTTATACGTGGGAAAAGAAAACGGATATCATCGTGGAAGCAGAAATTTCTTTGTCTTTATCATTTCGCATGTGAAATAATAATGTCGGGTACGATACAAATTTTAAAACAAGAAATCTAAGTAAATATGCATAAGCAATGATTAAGAAATAAGAAAAATAAGAAAAATAAGAGAAAGTATATTCAGAAAACAAAAGTGAATTTGAAAGAGAGTCCAAGTCGATCCCAACTTAAAGATTTGAGAAGCTGACTTAACGAGTAAGTTATGAGATTGTTGGTCTGACTCAATTTTCTACTCTCATGCACTTCTTTAATTTCAATTATTTTAGATAAATTATTGTATATATATTTTTCTTTGGACTGGTGGTTTTGCCTTTTATCCTTCCTTTTTTTCCTTGGATCAATAAAGCTCCCAAAGCCCACCAAACCAAAGTTGTTCTAATTTTTTGCTTCAACTTTCCAGCATCAGCCTTTGAATTTTACAAATAGCATTTTAGGTTTAGTACTCCTTTTTGTATAATGTTATCTTTTATACACTAGAAATAAAGGTACATAATTTGTCTATCAAAAACTAAGAAAAGAAAATGAGATGAATAAAAGATGATTGTTTCATTGTTAAGGAATTGAGATTAGTTTAACTTGGAAGAGAGTATTCATCAGCTTTCTTTTGCTGAACCTGAATTCGAATGCAACACTAGCTATATATTTGATAATATTTTAAATTATTAACAACTAGCTTTAATTCTAGACCGAAAATTCTATATACAATTTTCATGTGTTTAAACTTTGAACTAGGCAAAGCTTTATTTGTTTTATATTTTTTTTTGAATAGAAAAGCTTTATTTGTTTTATATTCATAAAGGATATATAGAAAAGCTTAAAATTTGTCAATTTAGAATCATATGTTTTACTCCTCCCACGCAGAATTTTGGATTTGGTACTTTTCTTCACCTCGAAGATGTTGGCTTTCCATTTTCTTTATTTGTTTGTTTTCAATCTTCTTTTTACTTTAAAGTTTAAATTTTGATGATTTTAGCGACATTGCTTAAGCAACGACCTACATCGACGAAAAGTTTCATTTCTTTATAACTTAATGTTGTCAATTTGATGGTTGATATTGATATGGTTCATGTATCATCTTCGTAATTAATTGTTTTTCTTAACTTTACATACATTTTACTTATAACGTAATTGATTGATTGGTTGTCTAATGTAGAAAAAAATAGTTATAATTGAACAGGTTAAACAATGCGGGAATTTACCCTAAAGCATATTGAATTGGTCAAGTAAGTTTAGATAAAGTTAATCACTTATAGGAGATTGTAACATTTTGATCATCTTAGAAAATACTATTTGACACTGCCAAAAAAAATATAAAATTAACTACTCAACAAATAGCTGGTTCAACCGCTAGTTGGCGGGTTTTAGCCAAAGTTTCCCGGTGTTATCCGAGTTTTTAAGAATTCGGTTTCAAGACTAGTCCAGACAGGAATAACTACCGGTTCGCAGTTAAACCGGTCTGGTCCGGGTTGAAAATCATTGAGTCTACCCACCCTCTATATTAGGCCTAGGTTTTCGGTTATCCGTTCGGTTATCGGTTGGGTCCATTCGGTTTCGGTTTTTTCGTATTCAAAATTTAGTATCCATTCGGATATTTTGAAATTTTGGTTCGGTTTCGGTTCGGTTCCGCTTCTTTCGGTTTTAAAATTTAGAATCCATTTAGTGTTTTTGTTTAGGATATTTTTGGATATTTTGGTTATTTTTGAGCATTTTCGGATAGTTTTGGATATATTTCGGTTATTTTCGAGTATGTTAACTATTTTTATATATTTTTCAAGTATTTTTGATTATTTGGTCTATAAATAACTAATTATTTTGAAAATATAATTGTATTTCGGGTATTTTGGTTATCCAAAATATTTCGGTTCGGTACCGATTCGGTTACGGTTATTTAGGTTATTAAATTTAGTATCTATTCGGTTATTTTTAAATTTTTGGTTCGGTTCGATTCGACTCTTTTTACTTCAGTTTCGGTTCGGTACATTCGGTTCGGTTTATTTGTCCAGGCCTACTCTATATCCGTATACTCGGCCAAGATATCTAAACAAAATTTACATATTTGATCTGAACATGATCCAAATATTTAACATTTGGGCTTTTAATGGGCTTTTAGCCCAATAATAAGTAAGCGGCGTCTCTTTAACTTAATTGTATCCTTTTGGGGTTTTTGAGTTTTTTAGGGTTTCAGTCGCTGAGAACAATTTTCTTCTTCTTCTTCAAGCAGAGACGCTCTCTACTCAACCAACATGGATCCTAACATGGCAAACAACCCAGAATTGCTTCAATTCCTCGCCGTAAGTCTCCGATTTGTTTTTGTTCTTTCAATTTAAAGCTTTTAAGTCGATTCACATGGCAACTTGAGCTTTTAGACAGCGAAATTATAAGTACAAGATGTGTTTAAGGTCCTGTCTGGAGTTATACAAACCATTTATTTTGAATCTTCGTTGCTGGGTCAAATTAGATTCGGAAGGTTGTAAATTTGGATGCTTTAAACTTTAAAGATCTGATTTTTTTTCATGTGTGGTTTAGAATCAAGTTGAATTTAGATTTAGTGTACTAAATATGTGTTTACAAGAATTGGGTTTTCTAGGGTTTATGCAAAGTAACCATTTTTTTGTCTTGGGTTTATGTTTTGGTGAGTTGTGATAAAATATGTGTGTGTGTGTGTGTTTGTGTGGCAGCAAGAGAAAGAAAGAGCAATGGTGAATGAAATGGTGGCGAAGATGACAAGTGTGTGTTGGGACAAATGCATCACAAGCGCACCGGGAAGTAAGTTCAGCTCGAGCGAGAGTTCTTGCCTCACTCATTGCGCGCAACGCTACATGGATATGAGTATGATCCTCATGAAACGCTTTCAGTCGCAGTAAGATTGATGAAGTTGATTTGTTATCATACTTGTTGGAATTTGAATTTATCCTTTTTGTGTTTCTCTTGGCAAGTGTTAAAAACCTTTTTATTACTCTAGTGATCTTGCAAGAGTATTCTCGGATAAGTGTTTTTAGGACTCCTTATTCTTATGTGATTGATGGCTATTAATAGAGTATGAAACATTTGTGGAATAAGCTATCGTGAGTCACATAATAGTTGGCCAATAAACGCATGAACCAAAAGGCATTTGGATTCGTGTGTTTTATCACTGATTCACTGTATTCGCAAATAACCAAAGTGGAACCAACTAATAAAGTCAATAACAGAGTAGGAAGTTACATCTCTTAGATGAGATAAAACAGTAATTATTTATATTCTTAGTAGCAATGATGAAATTAAGAAACTAAAAGAGAGGAAAAGAGAGTGCTTGTTGATTAAATCGAATGTTTCTTTCGCTACTTAGTTAAATTCAGTAATTAGATTTTAATACATTCCAAATTTTGTCTCTGTAATGATTATGTTTAAATGCAACTGCGGATAATAAATAAATTGGATGGAAAATGGGCCATATATTATTATTATGGGCAAGATGGGCCTAGCCTACGAGAAAATAAATAGGATGCAAAAATAAAGGTCCTACCGGGAGTCGAACCCAGGTCGCTGGATTCAAAGTCCAGAGTGCTAACCACTACACCATAGAACCTTGCTTGTGAAGGTTTACACAATGTAACTACTTAATAATATTACTATCGGAAACAATTTCCTCCACGCCAAGAAAATGCCAAAAAAAACATTCAACAAATAGAAAATGTCAAATAAATAGTTGAATAGCGGAATACTTGAATTATGAAATTGAAGAATCGATAGAACACCAACTTTTTAAAACTTAACATAAATGATTTTGTTTTAAAACGCCAAAAAGCTTAGTAGATGAACGAAGTTTCGTAATTTCAGTTATAATTTTAAAATCTGCACTATAAATTGAAAAAATACATTTGTTATTTTCACGTTTTTTATTAAACACAAGTTTTTGTAAATGGTATGTACACGGTGGAATTACGTTTCCAAAGCGTGAAAAAGTCGCATACCATTCAAGACCAATATATATGTATCTAAAAAAATTTAACAGCAATAGAAGAAACTTGAAATACGTCATTTTGGTTAGAGAAAAAAAAGACACATGACACAAACAGTATTTTGTTTTTTCAACATAAGAGAATGAATTTCGAATCGAGTTGGATAAAGTTTAATTTTGGACATAATAATCGACTAAGAGATTAATTGATTCTTGAATCGGATTTGATCGAGCTCAGTCCTTTTAAAACTCCTTGGACAAGCTTATTAATTTTAAAGGATTTTCGGATAGAGTACTCGTGTGTAAATGATATAATCAAAAGTAGCTAGCAATTTTCTTTGGTTAGATGGTAGGCATGGCTTTTGACTTAAATGTGTCGAGTCTGATGCTCATTAGTCTTCATTTACTGATTTTTTATTTTTAGATCTTCTTTTAATGAAAGGTACAAACGTTATTTTGTTTCATCTTTATTCTTTTCTTGAAAAACTGAAATTTAAAATTAAAATGTTAAAACACGACCATCATATTTTCCTGCCACACACAACATCGTTCAAGCTCATTTTCTTGCCGGTTTACTATAAACTATATAGATCCGATATGTGTAGCTATTACATGAAGTAATTTTGATATGTTTTTCACTTATGTTTGTTTTATTAACGTCAATAAATTTTCGTAAATGAGTGAAAAACTTAGGAAAGTTTCTCAAACTTAACATATCTCGTACCTCATGTAGTTTCTACTAGGCTAACAACAAGCACACTACAATTTTCATGAAATGAGTGACGATTATCAAGTTGTTAATGGTGGAGCTAGGGATAATTATCGCGGTCAAAAGGATTGTCTTGCCATTTGTAAAAATGTAAATTAGATTTTTTTTTTTTTTTTTTTTTGCATGAATGTAAAATTTTATTCAACAAAAAACATTTGTTACATTATATGCATCTTTGATAAGAAAATCTGAAATTTGACTTTGAACTAAACCAAAACTGTAATCAGAAAATCAAAAGAGTTTCAAATATGCAGTCCTATAAGCGCCTATTTGCAAACCATTCCTGTAGAGCTTCAGCTAATTTTCCATTACTCTGTTGTGAGAGCGATGTATATCATTTAATGTAAATTAGAATTGCAAATATCTTTATTGTAAAATGTATTTCATTTAAAGATAATGCTTCCTATTATAACTTCAAAGTTGTTACAAATGAAGTTTATTCTTTTCTTAACAAATAAAAGAAAATGGGATAAGAATCGTACACTGAATACTACATTAAAATGTCTTGAATCTTTGCTATGCGATTACAGTAAAATATTAAATAAATTACTGAGAAAGATGGGTCAAACTATGTATTAAAATACTAAATCCGTTTCGTAATATGGTTCTAAATATGCAGACACGTAAAGAGTTTCTTTTGGATTTGACCACGCAATTGTTGATTCCTAAATGCGGAAAGTGAAAAAGGATAACAAAAATTACAGTTAGATGGATTGAACTAATTGATGAGTACGACATTTATCAAAGTAGGAGGTATAACAAATGTCACGCTAATATATAAAGTATGTAACTATTTTGTTTGTTAAGGGTTTAAGGAGATAATTAAGTCGTGGGCGTTAGGTATTCGGTTCGGTTCTTTCAAGTTTTTTGGCAGTTCGGATAAAAAGTTTAGGATCTATATAGGAACTGATTAAATTTCGATTTGGTTTGGGTAATAGATTGAATGATCGATTTAGAACCAAAATTTTTTGGATATTCTTTGATTTGGATATAAATTACTTGAAATACCTAAAAAAATTTTTGAAGTATTCGGACTAAACAAAAACTAACCGAGAAAAACTACCATATATCTCACATAACTCTGATAGTTCAGTTACTTGACAAGACGAAAAACCCACCATGCCACCACAAAGATTTGTGGAGAGGACAAGATCGAACTCGAGTTTCAGATATATGTCTGAGACCACCACCAATATTCATCGGCAGGAGGAGAAGAAACTCGAGAAGACTTGTCTGAACCCTATATGTAAATGACATCGTTTTAGAGTTATATTGACAGATCTAGGTTTTACACAAAGCTGCTCCAAGATATATTTATTAAATCGGCCGCATTTGTTATAAAATATTAGTTAGATCTGCTTGTAAATGTGAGATGCTTAGAGGTTAAGATCGCATGTTCGACCCTCTAAAAGGAGGAATATTTTTTGTTCGGGCATCATAATTATTTCGTTGGAAATATTTGTTTGTTGCATCTTAAATTAAGACCTTCGATTTTTCTACGACTAACTTACAAAATATCTTTCGTAAGAAACTGGTATAAAATATTCCTACGAAATTCTTTTGGTATAGTTTTCGCAGAAAATTAGAAGGAATATTTCTCACCAAATTTCCACCGCATCTTTTCCTATAAAATTTCAAAGAATTTTCCTACAACAAATACTTTCCAAGATTTTTCGTAAAAAAAAATTCTACAACTTTTCGTCGGAAACTTCCTTCCAGTTTCCTACGAAATATTGATTTCGTAAAAAACTTGTAGGAAATCAATCCTACCAAAATTCGTAAAAAGTTTAGTAGGATTTAACAAAGTTTTCTTGTACAAGTGTTGATCACACGATACTTTCAAGATGTTGTGAACCAGAGAAATATTTTTAGTGGAACAAAAAGCTCTCTCTAATAGTTGAGAATATAAAAGGCATAGAGGCCAGACTTTCTCTCCTCCTAGTACATGACAAATTTAATAATTGATGTGAAACTTTGAAATATTCTTGAAATGTAAGTGTGAGCCTTTGAAGTGAAGTGAGTCAAAAACTTAAGCTCAACCATCAAAACAATCTGAGAAATTGAAAAGACAAAGACTTAAAGCTTAGAGATTCACCAGAACAGTGAAGCACTTTCAACGGACAATGAATTAAAGGGAATTTGTTAGTATGATACACTAAACAAAACCAACATTAAATTCTTCTTCAGTTTCTTTCTTTTCATCATTTGTGTCTTTTTGGGTTTTCTTTATTTTTTACCAATACTTTGAACTTCTATACATAAAAGTGTAACCAAATTAGTATCATTAATCGCCTATCTAAGACGTAAAATTTAGAAGACATATATACACATCACTACTTTATTAAGATAATTGTGTAAATATGTATATCTAGTTTATTAAGATAATCATTAAAATGTTAATATGTATATTAATACGTTAGTTACGTTAACATGAGGCATAATTAAGACATACTACATAATTAAGGCATGGCTAGTGAAAAATTGAATAGTCATGGCAAATGAAAAATCATTCCACTTTATGTTGTTCTCGCAGATTCTGCTAAAAGGCATTTGCTTGGTTGGATGTATGGGAAGGAATTTTGACCGTCGAATAAGGCATTACCTTGGTTGGAGGCAAAACATTCCTTTTTGACTTTACAAGTACCACAAGACTATAGAAAAATAGTCAATTAAATCAATGATTAACTAGCTTTCAAATCGCGATTAATTATTAGCCCGTTTAATTCTGATTATTCAATTTATTTATTGAGAGCCAACCAAAAGACGGAATACTCAAGGAGATGCAAATGGTTTACCCTACATAAAAAGAAGAAAAACAACAACAAATGCAAATTGGTTTCAGAGATCTCACTTTGTTTTGTTTTTATTTTTAAAGTCATTTTCACTCACTTTATATTTCAACTTGACGATTCTGTCTCTTTCGATTGGTTAGATGTTATTATATTTCTTTGAAATCAGTATCTTATGAACTTATTTGCTAGTTTGTAAAAACTGATACAATTTTACTTTCATAAAAAAAAAAAAACTGTAAAATTTTTAAGAATTTAGTATAATCTTTATTGAGATTGGGACCCTTCAAGATTTTGATTAATTATATGATGAACTTCCGAAAAGCTAAATGTACTAGTCTAGAGGACACAATGATTAAATCCAAAAAAAAGTATTCTACAAAAATGCACGATGTAAAAGTAAACAATTAAAAAACACATATACATTAGAAATACTTATAACTATAACAATATTCGACGGGAAAGTAAGAACAGGTGTTCGTGATCGTTCCTTATATCGTACCCTCTTCATGTATTTACTTACGAAGGGAGCTTTCAGCTTTTGCTTTATTTATTTATATA